TCTGATTTATGTGTTTGCTTTGTGTATATAGAGGTGATTGCATAATAGCTCAAAATACAGTCTTGGGGTAGGGGTGGTGTGCTTGAGGAAGGGTATAGGTGTATGTGTGGTTGTGGGGGGTATAGGGAGTGTTGGATATGGGGGGATGTCAGGGGCAAGGGGGGCCCTTGAAATCTCCAGAGCTGCATGTGGTGGCAATGAGTGGGGCCAGCCTCATAGCTCTCAGCTCCCTGCGCTCCTACCCAAGTCCCTGGCTGCACGTGGTGGCAGCATGTGGGAGCAGCCTGACCCAGCCCTACCCAACCAGCCCAACCCATAGCAGCACATGGCTCCCCATGCTCCCAGTCCCCTTTCCCCCAGTGGGAGTCCCTGGCCCCCAACTCAGTGGGGCCCTTACTTAAATTTCCACTCTGGCAGGGAGGGAAGAGCTGGACAGCCACAGGTTTACCAAGCAAAAGCCTCTGCCAGACAGAAGCTTCTTGTCTCCAGCACCTCCTACCTTTGGCCTGGGGTGGGTGAGGCCAGACTAGGGTGGGGTTTGGTTGCTTATTAACCAGAGCTGCACCTCCTGCATGGAGGCGTTAGCTTTCAGAGAGGCAGGCAAGGGCCAGGGCCCATGATAATTCTTCCAATTTACAAAAGGGCCCTGCAGGCCGGATGGAATTGCTTGCCAAGTCAGATGCAGCCCACAGGCTGTATTTTGCCTGCCCCTGCTTTAATTGACCTACTTACACTGCGCTGAAAGTCAGATTTGGGAATAGAAGCAAAGGCTCAGAACCTGTCCTGTCTCTAAGATGTCTAAGCATTTGCCTCCACCCCCCCCCCCAAAAGTATGCGTCTTGCCTCAGGAGGCCAATCCTATTTATTCCAAGGAGGTGTAGAGCTCTCCATTCTCTCTCTAGGCATCCTTCCAACATACTGGGATCCAGCTGAGTCCAAGGGGAGATGTCCACATGAACTTGTGCATCAGAGGGAGGAGGAGTGGAAGCGGGGCCTACCCACATACTGCACCATTTCCTATGCAAGGATTATTTAATCAAAATTCATAAATAGCATTGGAAGCAACAGAAAGAACTGAAGGCTTTCCTCCTAGATGAGTGCCCTCCATCTTATTTGCTGTCTTATAGTTCTGTGACTCTTGCATTTCTTTTTCGCAATGGCCTAGATCAGCTGTGTTTGCCCCATCATTGGATTCTAGGATACTGTCCCAGTAAATGGGAGATATGTATTCAAATCCCCTCTAGCTGAATAGTATCTAAAATCCAGGTCTTCCACTGTACACAGTTGTCCTAACCCTAGGCCAAGGGGGACAACCTTTTTGGCAGGCGTGCCACAAAGCCTCTTAACCTCCCTGAAGTGCCACGGCCATCCCCCTCCCCTGCCCAGTCTACTGCTTTACTTTCTGTTCCCTGCCCTGTGTCCCTGCATCAGATGTTCTGCTCTCTGCTTCCGCTGCTTTGCTTTCTGCTCCCTGCCCTATCTGCCACTGTGTTGCCTGTCCCCAAACTGGTCTGCCACATGCCACACGCCACACGTAGAGGCTTCCTGTGCAACTTGTGGCATATGTGCCACAAATTGGCCACCTCCCTGTGTTAAGCTATTGAGCAAAAGGTGAGTAGGCTCTTAGCTTCCTCCCATAGCAGAATTGAAAACTGCTTTTTCATAAAGTGCTCATGAAAAATTAGCACAAAAAACTTATTCTTTGTAAATGGCAATATATTGATAATGAACAAGTACCATATGAAATGTTGTTTCATAGTAAATTATACTTAGCATGTTGTTTTCTTCCAGAATTTCTGTGTTAAAGTCTTAGGCCATTTTCAGCCTTGTTTTATATGCTGACCCATGATTAAGTTTGCTGTTCAATCAAGTAAAATGGATAGTATGCTGTAGTTCATGTGCAGGCATAGTCTTTTAATCCAAGGATGTTAAACACCTGCTTTTCTCTCAGTCTTTTCCCATGGTATAAATGTGAATGGTAAAGTTTAGGAAAAATAGCCAATTCTGAAATTAAAGAATAAGTATATAAATAAATTAAATAGAATTTTTAAGATGCCAGATCATTAAAAACACACAAGGATAGACTTACTATAATTTATGGTAACACTTATAATTCCCAGGACACCACTGAGACAGGCAGTGCAAAAGTGTGTAGTGAGAGAGAACCTTATCATGTACATGGATAAGGCAGAGAACAAATGGGAAAGGAAGTGACAGAGAGAGATGAAGTGACTCAGTAAAGGTCAAGTAGCAGCTCAGTGGCAGAGCATGAACTAGAACTTCCGCATCCAGATTCAGTATCCTGGCTCCTGGACTATGCTTCCTCCAGTTAGACTGCTTGTGTATTCAGGATCACAATATAAGTGTTTTTTAAGTGTTTTAGAAAATGAGTGTACAATTTCTGGGTTTGTGTTACTGTTTACACATGGTGCGCTACACTAATGCCCTGACCCAGGAAAACATGCTTAATTAAACATGCTTAGTTTTAAGCATGCATGTAATCCATCTGAAGCCATTCTGGTCATTCATGTACTTAAATCTAAGCCACTGCTGAAGTGTTTAAGTGGGGTGGAATTTACATTTTTACAGGTTTGAGCCCTGTGTTTGAAACATTATCTTTGGGATCTGATTCTGTGTCATGCCAAATACCCTCCCTAAAGCAAGCGTGAAAGGTGTTGACACTCTACAGAACTGTTGTCTCATCTCCCTGTCTAGGCTTTTTTATATGATCCTCATCTACATAAAAACTAAGTGCTACATAATCACAAATGGATTTTTCTTCATGATTTCCCTGTTAGGTAGGGGAGTGCTTTCATCCCTTTAAGAGTACTAAGACACAAATAGATTAAGTCACTTGACAGAATTCACTCAGGAAAAATTGACGGACACACCAATTGAACCTGGTCATTTGACTCCCTCAAAACACTTGCATTATCCTGTAACTGACTTTGTATCTTGTGACCTCTTCTCTGTATTTTAAGGAAAATGATAAAAAGTATTTTTTTAAAGCTGTGATTTTTGTTTATTTAGGGATTACTGGTAGAAACTCATTACTTCTCTTTTATGTAACTTTTCATATGATGTGTCATTTTATTACACATGACAGTCTTGCAGGTGTGTGCACCATAAAGAGTATTGCATAAGAAAGCAGTTTATTTGATAGAAGATTGTTAGGGCGGTTTACATTTACTGACATTTGTTTAGTCTTTACTGTCTTTGTTCTGCATACCTCTTCAGACTTTTTCAATACAAACTTCTTTCATAATGCCATTCCCAGATAAGGGTCTTTTTGTATATATTAGTATAAATTAGAACTAACTGCAGTGAAGCCAAAGGAGGCATAATATTGAAAAGTCAGGGAAAATAGAAGGATAACCAGGTCCATTATGTTCATTAGATGCTTTGAGGTTCACTCGTTGAAAGCCAGACTAATTCAGTTGAACTGCTAACAAACATTCCTCAGTTGTATGACTCTGTTTCCTATTAGGGGTCTACTTCAAAGCCCGTCAGTGCCAGTGGGTTTTGAAAACAGTCCTGAACTGCTAAGATGAAAATCAAGATACTATATTGTAAAGTGATTTGTCTTGTCAGTTTTCATACACCTTTGTTTCACTCCCTTTTTCCTGACAAGTAAGATGAAAGTGGTTGGGAAAATAGTTTCTCGGGTGGATGAATAATATCTTAAATGAGAGGGGTGGTAGCATGACTAAAATTTAGACTGTTATCAGGATGGGCCCTCAGGTTGTTACTGAAGATGCATAAATAGCAGTGCATCATGAGTAAAAGGAAAAGAATGCACCATCAAGCCAAATAATTCTTCAGAGACTATTTATCTTTATTTTTCATCTCAGGAAGAGCACGAAACTTCAGAGTCAAGAAAGAAAACACCTTTGTAGTTCATCTAGTGCATCTGGTAGCTGTATTCATATCTGACAAAACTTTATGCAGTGTTTTGACCCCAGTTGCCTGGTTCTGTGTTGTCAGAGGTACCTGGCACATGAGAGTAAACTACTTCAAAAGCGGCCCCACGTGCCCAGTATATATGAGTCTGAAGAACCCACATTGCTATGAGCACTTAAAAAGAATTTAGCATTAAGGGAGCTTGTTTAATCTGAGAGTGAAAAGATAACAGTGGGTTCATACAAACAGTTTTAAAATTCTCCTGTGAGTGAGGTATACAACAATACTAGGGAGCAATGTTCTCTTGTAAGCCACTGCAACAAGTTTCCTCTACCTCTATTTTTAACTTAACTCACTCCACTCTGCTCTTCGCATATCTCCATCCACCAAATACATTCAGCATTTGTTCTAGAGCAGACTGTGACTATGAGCCCTTTTACTTCCCAGGGATCACCTGCTTCTTCCTTTTTGAGGCTTTTTAATCAGATCTGCTTATGCAGACATTCTTTCTACCCTGGTCTCTGAGGTTCATTTTCTATGCTGTTCCCTGAAAAATCACCAGGATTACTAGACTAAGCTGCAGAAATGCTGGTGGCTTATCTCCTTCATCCAAAGCAAAGTCCTGCCCTGGTTGTACCATTAGGAAGGCTTAAAAAATATATCCTAAGTATGTATACCAGACATAGTTTTATCAGTTTACTGTTTTACTAGTAAAATGTCTGAAATCTCTATTGTTCAGATGTTTTAGAAAAATTAACAGTACTTTGGTTTTAAATTTATGTTGATGCCTTGCCAAGGTAGTGCTATAAACCAACATTGAAAATGACTAATCCTCAATCAAAATCTGATCATTCCTATAACTTCATGACAAACCATGATGAAAACAGTAATTATTACTTTTTTCCTCATCTACCAAAAATGTAACTAGCTTTGCATTTAAGTAATTTTACATGTATGGTGTAAACTGCATTTTGTATGCTACAACATTAATGGTATCTGCAGTAGATTAGTTTTGAAAATTAGTTTCGTTCAGACAGCAATATGTGTACACAGGTAACTTTAAGAATTAACCCATTGAAGTGATTTCTCTTTCTTTTCAGCTGAAGTGTTACCACAAAAAATATCGATCAGCCACCCGTGATGTGATTTTTCGCCTGCAGTTTCATACAGGTGCTGTTCAAAGTTATGGTCTTGTGTTTGGCAAAGAGGATTTGGACAATGCTAACAAAGGTAGGTTACTTTGTGTGGGTGATTGGCCTTGTACATGTGTCAAGTTTTGTGCGACTGGGTCTGTGTGGTTTTGTTCAAAGTGATCAAGTCAGGGGGCCTGGGTGAGGGGAGGTGCTGTTTGACTATGTGCGTGCTTGCATTTAAAGTCGGCATTTTCCAAAAAGTGGATAGGAATTCCTGTCTTCACTAGAAAATACGTTCATTGCATTCATGTTAATCTGTGATAACTGACATGGGTTAAAATCCTGGGGCACGCAAGGCAGTTTATAGTTTTCATGTGAGATTAAAAAAAAACTTAGGTTGCTATATAATCTATAATTTAACTAGCCAAACTATAAAAATTGCAAGGTGCCTTGCTCTGGTTCTGACTCATCGTTTGGGGTGTGTTAACTAATCTGAACTAAGAACAGACTTTTTAGTAGTGAAGACAAAGCTAAAAGGAGTCTAATGTTCACTGAGTAGGGTTAGCTCTTCCTGTCAGTTGGGTCCCTTTAAGATGCTTCATGCAAGACGCCTACAAATTAAAATTGGGTCAAACAAAATCACTAGGCATACCTGAAACTCAGCCCAGATACTTTGGGTGCTTCCTGAAGTGTCACTTAATTTTTTTGTGTTATAGATGGTAAATAATGAGTTAAATTCTACCTGTCATGTAACATGCGTTAAAAATATACTTTCCTTCCTAGTGTTTATGTATTGGAAACGTTTGTTTAGTGGATTACAGTTTTGCTAGCATAAAGAATAAAAGTAGTTTGTTCCAGTTTTTTATTTTTTCAACAGCCCCACAAAACTTCCATAAATAAAGTACTAGAGAATTTTGTTTTCTTTTGGTTTGGTTTCTGGTTTTGTTGTGGTGGTTTCTTTTGTGTGTTGTTGCCTAGTCTGAGAAGTAAGCCACACTCTGACTTGCATTTGTGGGATTTCTTATGTTAGAGAGGCTGGCTTCTTTACTTTTCATTCCATCCAGGAAGAGCACACACCAACTGCTGAAACTTCCTTAGCCTGACGAAGGGTTTTGAACCCGAAAGCTTGCTTAATAACTATTCTCCAACTATTTGGGTTGGTCTAATAAAAGATATCAGATTCACCCAAGGAACCTTGTCTGCTTATGTTAGAGAGAACTTTGTTTTAGAAGCCTGAACAAAAGTGAGAAGGAAAAGAGGGAACGAAGTGTGGGGGAAGTACCTGAATTACACTGTAGAATTTTGATTTCTAACTGCATTGCTTCTGTTCCCAAGGAATTAAACTTGCTGAACTATTGTGTTTTGTTTCCAGATGACCGTTTTCCTAATTATGGAAAGATTGAATTGGTATTTTCAGGAACCCCAGAGAAAATCCAAGGTGAGCATTATATATATAGAATATGTTCACAAAGGAAATTAATTGTATATCAAAGCCCCCTTCCCTGCCACCCCCTTATCCTTCAACAGAGTTGGGGTTTAACTCTTTTATTCCTGAAGTTTTTAGTACAGAAAGTGTAAAGGCCCAGTAAGGGGCAGACATCCTGGAGATCAAAACATGGCTGCATAGATGGTGTTGTCATGAGGGCTTTGGGTTCTTTGACCATGGGTTGCTTTCCAGAAAGAGGGACTGCTGAGAAGAGATGTGCTGCACCCGATGAAGAGAGGGAGGAGTCTCTTTGCATACAGGCTTGCTAGCCTAGTGAGGTGGGCTTTAAAATAGGTGTACTGGGGGATAGAGAGAAAAGCCCAGAGGCTAGTAAAGAGCCTGGAGATCTATTTAAAAAAAAAAAGAAACTTAGGATGGAGAAGCAATAACAGAAGTTTTAGCACTGTTCTCAAGAAGAGGAGAGGAGAGGACAGCCAGATACTTAAAATGCTTGTATACTGATGTGGTAAGCAGGATCCTGGTTTTCCCTACTAAAAAAATAGCAAAATCTCTGATAAACCCCCCAAATCTGTGATTAAAATGAAAGGCCCATCACTCTTCCCCCCC